GCGCGGTTGGCGGCTGTCGTCGCTCGCCATTTTGGCGGTCGGTTCAGGCGCACGCAGGGTGAGTGCAATTAACTCCCACTAACTTCGCGGTCTGTTCCGCAATCGCAACGGTTTCGTGCCCGCAACCGCGGCAGCTACGTGCCCGCACAAACTTGCAGGGTCGTGAGTATTGATATAAAACCGCTGTCTAGTAGCACCGGCGGGTGCGGATGGAAACCGCTCCGTGAACTGTTAACCTTATTAACCTTAAACTGACGCTACTCAACGAGTGATGTGGTCCTACCTAATGGATAGATGGAAACCATGTGGCTGTTTTAAAAAAAAAAAATTCATACTATATCTACGCTGGTATTGGTGTATTATTAAATTAATATAAATTATTATTATTTTCTTAATGGCGGCCACTAGGCTTAGACCAGTGTCAGTTTATAAGAATAATATAAAAAATATGGTGTACGGTCTATGACCGACAATGCGCTCCATCAGCACTTTACGCCATATTGTAATTTAAATCAGTTCACGATCAGCCACCGCGCAGTGTACTCATTTCAATCATCAATCTATCAAAATGTATCATTATCAGTAATCAAGCAAATAAATCTACTTATCAATTAAAAAAAAAAAATCGTCAACGAAGTGTCCGACATGGCAATCGAATGGCATTTCCAGGCTCCATCATGGCCCAGCGCGTGAGGGCTCTGGGAAGCATCCTTCTTTTATTTTGAACTTATTGGAAAAACTTACAAATTAAAAATACTCTACATTTAATCTACGAGTATAATGGAATTTATATATCTTAAATATCTAAAACACATAAATTTTTCTTCAAGCAACAGCAACATCCAAATTGACATGAAATTGAAACGATTGTCGGAAATATGAGTTGTGTTAAAGTTACTCGAAATAAAATGTTTAGTAATAATAATAATAATAAAAGAAAAGAAATCAATTTAACGTTAATGCTTTTCGCTTCGATATTTTAGGGATTTTAATTACAAAAATCATAGTAATAAATTCAAACATTTCAGTAAAGTTATTATATTATATTATATTATTAGATTATATATAAAGTTATTGTCGATAAACATCAATTTTCGTAAATGAACATCACTATATTTGAGTCTAGAAATTTCTATGGAGACAAAAAGAAAACATTGAATAATAATAGAAATAGTAACTAAAAATGCAAATAGCCGGTGGAATAGTATCTCACTGGTTTTAATATTTTTGTTTTCACTCCAATTTTTACAAGGTGTATCGCTACAACTTGGCATTTTCACGTTTTACGAGAGATCTTGTATATACAACGATCGCCATGTCACTGTGGCGATGTTTGTAGGCGTGTCACCTCGATATGGTCATTTTGACCATATCGAGGCGACACGAACCACGCCCCCATACCTTATCTCCCTTTTTTTTCTATATCTATGGTTCGTACTATGACGTGACTTTAACATTAAAGTAACATTGCTCTTATGTCAAATTTTGAAATCTTAAAAGAGTTACACGGATGCAATGGAAACAATATTATTTTCAGTTTTATTGTCTTAATATTGATTTGTAATCATTAAAAGTTAAATTGAACTTATTTATTTACATATATCTCTCCAATATTTTGTTTATTTTTTATTTCATAGTACATAAATAATTTTGCGTTAAATAAAAATACGCAATGTTTATTTCGTAAAAATTATAACAGCGCCATCTATATGCTCCTTGGCGAAAACATTATACTACGATAGGTAATCGGAACATCAAAAAAGAAAGAGATGGCATTATATAGTCTACATAGCGGTATCTCTTTCCTAATTTTAGTAAGGAATAGACAATATTGGGAAATCATGCGTTCTTTCGATGAACCTTTCAAAGTCCTGAGTCGTTGTTTCCGATTTGCATAACACAAGTGCTTTAGCTACTTACTTTGAGATCAGAGCAACATATGTGATATTGTCTAAATATTTATATTTATTTATTATTATTTAATTGACTTGTAGTTTTTGTTTTTTATTTTATTGTTATTATTGATTTAATTTATTTGAATTTATTTCATTTTTTAACGTAATGTGTGTGTGCGCTTTATAATTTTAGAATTTTGTATAATAATATTTATGGAATATTGCGAAATAAAATTATTTAAAATTTATTGTACCACGTGTATGATATACTAAAAACCTGTTGAAATTGGATAGCGAACAATATTTGCTTTGATCAATAAAACTCTTTGAGGCTTCGTGTCAGAGGCTCGTTTATTGTATCATCATTTCGCAACGTGGGTCTCCCTTTGCTTTGTTCATGTTCAACCTAAAGGTTAAGTAATGTAATCGGGCTGTACAATTTACTTTTTTTTTGAAGTAAAATTTCTCCGCTTCCGCATAATTAAGATACAATTCACAATTTTTATTACTAAACGTGCTTTAAAAAGTAAAGAAAAAAGAAAGAAACTATACTAACTAATATCAGTACGCTACTGAGTATTTGATATACATTCTATATTCAAAAGGGGAATGGCCATCGAGAAATTTTTTTAGGGCCCCGAGGAATTTTATTTAAATGTAATAAGTTTTGTCTAGTATTATATTTGTGTTTAAGCGCCTTGTAAATATTATACAATAAAACAAAATCTATGGGATCAGCTAAACAACATACAAATCTAGCCATTACATCTATATTATAATACTCTGGAAATCAATGAACTTGACGATACCTTATTCATTAGAAATTCTTCATTTACTTAGCTCATTATTATTGTTTATAGTTTGATTTATGGAGATGAGAGGTAAATTACCTTGTTCATATTGTGGAATTTAGATTTTTTTTTTACAAACATTGATAAAGAATTCTAAAAATCACGAAATGGTAAAAGAAATTAAGTCCTATTGTCTTTTTTTTTAATTTCACATATTTAATTTGACTTTAAAATTGATTTTAATTGTCTAATTAAGACCTTCATTCTCTAACACTCTGTAGTAAAAATTACTGTTAAGTTTACTTATTGAATTTTCATGTAATATATTTTTATTGGGGCTACATCGGGACTGTACAGAGGTTGACAAAGTTGAATAATCTCATATTTTGCCAAAAGAGAAAATTCTGCTCAAAGGGTGTCGGTTTGACGGCACAGAGACGATTAAAAGAAAATGCGACGAGTGCACGGAAGGCTATTCGGAAAACTGACTTCCATAACGGCAGTGTGTTGTTCAAGCGAATGGTGATTACTTTGAAAAATGCCACGAACCGGGTGATTAATAGACCCAGCGGAATAACGGACGAAAATCGGATACTTTTGGGACAGATCTCGTATTCGAATAACATTACCATCGGTCATAAAATATTGACTGATTTATTGATTGATTGTGTACTTTTATATTTCTCTTTTTCCTATTTCCTTTTTATACATTTTTTTGTTCACGGACTTAACATGGTAATCTCAATTGTCTCAGATCACAGATCGAAATTCTACATTTGGGCATCGACACGATCTGAATTGTATTTTTTGTGCTAGTTTCTATTTTATACCGACGGCCGAGTAACTCCGTTCGACTATACATATATACAAACTATCATATATACGCTTGAAAGGCTAAATGGGATAAGCGACACTTTTGGGTCATATTGAGTTATTGTACCGTTAGAATCAGAAACATTAGCTGATTCCAACTGTATATATAACTCAATATGTCCAAAAGTGTCGCTTATCCCATTTTGCTTTTCAAGTGTCGATATGATTAATTTGATTCATGTATATAAAAAAGATACATTTTATTTTGAGATATTTCATATTTAAGTTGTAACTATTGAGTTGTTTGTTTCACGCGATTGTTACACATAGGAATTAAAATTTGTTTTTCTGATCTTAATGGCGTATATAACGGCGGGTCATCAAAAGCGGCATTTATCAAGCTCGATTGCTCGTCCATTACGAGGAATTTCTTCCAAATAATAACGCAGGCGTGTAGATCAATGTGAATTTATTGTGTTGCAAAACTAAATCACTTGAAAATATATTCAGATAGGCGTGATGTCTTTGGATGTCTTTACTCCTCGGCAATCGGAAACAGAATGAATTTTGAAAAAGGCGGCCGCTCGGTTAACCTTAGCGAACTGTCCACTTAAAAAAAGGAAGCTAAACTGACTTCCGGCCGGAGACAAGCCAGTGTTGCCATTCTAATAAAATAAAAAGTATCGACAATCACGCCATCTTTACAATCGAGTACAATCGAGTAAGAACTAAAATTAAAAGAAACAAAATGGAACTGTCACTTTGACGTTTTAGGTTTAAAAAAAAAACAGCCTTCGCAAACGTAATGTTGGATGTTCTCCGACACGGCCATTCTGACAGTGTCACGCGTCCTCCCGTGGGAGTTCAATCTGAAAGAGAAAATATTCACCGCAGTAGATACTACTTTCAGTCACTCCTGACTACAAAAGAGTAAGGTTTTGAATTGTAACTTGGTACTGCAATAATTGGAGACACCGTTAATTTTAAGTTTCTTTAATCATTATCAATTCTTATTGACTTGTAATTACAATCATGTACTAACAAGAAAACCACAAACTGGTTTTTTTTTTTAATTTATTATCACTTGACCAGTGATTTTCGTCGTCACTTGACCAGCAACGATCTTAGTAGTCACTTGACCAGCGACCATTTTAAAATTTTCCGCTTAACCAGCGATTTCACTTTACCAGTGATTTCACTTAATCAGTGATAGGATGCATAGTTGGATGCGCATCGCACACTCTTCGGTTAGACCGGGGCGCTACGACTACATACCAACATATGCAACTTGAAGTTATGAAACCATTTTGACAAAATCAATTAATTAAATCAACAACGTACGCTAAAAATTATCATTACAAGCAATACAATATTACGTCAGGTATTTGATTAATCATGTTTGTTTTCAATATCTTGCTCTTTAGAAACGCTTTCAACAATTGGTTCAACTTGTGAAACAACAACAACATTTTTTTGTTACATTCTAGTTATTTGTTTTCAGGCGGTGGGTATGATTACAATCTACCTACTCGTGCTTCTGCAGTTCAAGATATCTCTACCCAAAGAAATTACGCCGTAATCTATAATCGAGTATAGAAAACGTATCAAACGGTGTTTTATAGAAAGGGCAAAAACATAATTTCACAGAAATTTTTCAGGGCAGCATGTTTTAGTTTTTTACGACTGTTTTATAATAATTACGTCCAGTTTTCAATTCAATTTTAAAACTTTAATTAAAGTCAAAATTGAATTTTTCACAAAACCCTTATATAAAACACCGATGATATATGGAATCACTGATAATCGACATTCATATAAAAATGTTCACAATGGCTATTAGTTAAATAATTCCAGGGTGCAAGTCTCTTATAATTTGTGCTTTGTGTTGTGTTGTTCTTTAAGTATTTTAGAACTTAAAATTGTATTTTGTTTTTGTAAAATAAAAAGTAGTAGAAAATCGTTTATTGCGCTATTTATTTATTGAATATAATGTTTTAATGCTATTAAATATATATCTTTTTCAAGAAATAAAGTTTTCTAACTTGTTTTTGATCTGGGTGTTCTGAGTAATGCTCTGGTCAAAGCATAATACACACGCGACGGGCGCAGGTCGGGTCCCGCGCCCGCACGTGGTATGTTGTCGTCCATGCCGCTACACGAACTGCTACACAGAAGTCTCAGGTTCGATTCCCGAGTGGGGAGAAATATTTGTATGGCTTACATTTATTTCTCTCGTGAGGTTGGGTGTAATTTGTGGTTGTCTATGTGTATGTCCATGGTACCCGCGACACAGGGTTTCCCTAGTGCGGGGCTATGTTGAGTGTGAGCGTTATTATAAAAAAAATGTAAAAAAATACTATTTCTTTTTCTTCTTATTCTTGATTTTATTGACATAATACAACATTTACATTATCGTTTTTGCGCATGTGAGTGTTTGATAATTTTTAGTGAGTTCTTAAGAATTGCGGGCTCTTAATATTTTCTTTGGATTTATTGTATTCTTTGTCAAATAATAGAGTTAGAGAGAAATAGCTATAGAGAAATAGAGAGCCGTGACAGCCTCATGGCAAACCATATATATAGGTCAAAACCTACCGCAACTCAAGGTTCATGGGTTCCAATCCGGGCTTGCTCATCTGAGTTTTTCGTAAGTTTTTTTATAGCATCTAGTAACAGGATGAACAAGTCGTACTAATGGTAAGCTACACGCCTGTCCATAACAGTTACAGTGCCACTCAAGAGCTTTAAGTTGCAAAGATCTGAAGGGGACATAAGTTGCCAAGTCCCATGTGCCTGCAATCTCACAAGCACCCTTACCCTTCAAAACCGGAACACAGTAATGCTGACGTTACTGCTTGGCGGCAGGAATAGGTAAGGTAAGGCGGTACTTCCCTGGACGAACTTTTTCACTGCTGGCCATAGATCTCCTCTCAAGCAATGGTTTAGGTTATAGTCTGCCACGTCCGCAATGCATGTTGGTGACGTCACAAGCTTTCCGAGGGTTATGAACCTTCTTCGAGGTTTCATCACGAAGCAGTACTACCCTGGACGGAGTCTTTCACAACGACCTCTACTGCTACTAAAAATTATGTAATTTATGTGCGAAATTTAATTAAGTATGAACCATGATCGTTTCGGGGAAGGAAAACATTGTGAGTAAACCTGTTTACATCTCCAAAGCAATTTAATGATTATATGTGAAGTTCTCATTCCCGATGAGCCTGCGCTGCAACTGCAGCTCAAGTCCTCTCATTGTAAGACGAGGTCTGTGCCCTACTGTTTACTGTTTTTTTAATAAAGGCAAAAATTACATCGCATATTTTGTTATTATATTGTAGAATTTGAAATAACCAACAGAACTGAAATACGAGCTTTCATGCTCAAAGTCGTTACTGTATTCCGTAATTTCAAGGCCTCAAAGTAACTTGTCAGCGGTTAGACACTAGGACGGGTGGTTTTCAGGTACCTAACTTAAATCTCTAAAGGTATGACTTGTCCTTTAATTCGATTGGAACTAACTAATTTGTCAACGTAGCTTTGTAGACTATGGCTGCTAACAGATTGACTGCTTGTTTGCTATTATCAACTTCATACAATCGAGGTCTCGGATAACGTCCCCACGCATTATCTGACTAAAGCGGCAGACATTCAAACCATATTTGTATTGCAAAAACGAGCGATTCGTTCTGTGTATCGTTAAGGTTCTCGGGTTTCTCCCATAGAAAAGTTTAAGGAGACTGGTATCAAGACTGTGGTATCACAGTACATTTACTCAAATGTTTTATATGCCCGTAAAAATATTTTAAATGTTTTAATTTCAATAAGAAAGAAGATTTCCATAATATTAGCCTTAGAGCTAAGGCCAAACTCATGGTACCACGATTTCGTTTGACCAAGCTGAACGACTTTTTTACGTGGAACTGTATACGTTTTACAATAAGATTCCGAAGCATAGGTATATTATTATTATCATTTTCTAAGTTTAAAAACTACATTAAAAATATTTTGATTGAAAAGTCATATTACAAAATTGAAGACTACGTGTTAGATAAAGATTTATGGGGAGTCGACATGGCTCTAGATACCACACAAATTTGATTCAAAGCATTTAAGTTTATTCGGAAAGGGCACTCACTAGAGTTTCTTGCTCGTTCTTTTCAGGTAAGTCAGCGTAGTGAACTAGCAGTAGCTTAAATGTGATGTTTTTAGCGTAAATTTATTTTACCTGTGGATTAAATGCCGTACCTGAGAAAAAAAAAAAGAGTGAGTTTTAATAACATTTTGAGATACCCAAATTGGCGTACAAACTGCTACAAAATGGCGCTTACAATGTAATGCTTGTCAAGTACGGAATGATATTTTGACTTGACTTTGACTTTGACCTTGCAGTCGAAACTTGATGCAGCCGAGGTCGCCTGCATGCAGTTAATACGTGAAGTCGTTATCAACTTCATACAGTCGCGGTCTCTGCTGCATGAAGTTGATTACGACTTCACGCATTAACTGCAAACATGCAGTCAATCTGTTAGCAGCCTAATTAGGGTGGTGGCGCCAGTGACCAACAAGCACTAGTGTTCAACATCTTTTTAAATTAATTCTAATAAGATTATAAGAGAAGAAACTGCCTCTGTGGCCGGACGGTTACCATGCCGGACTGCCACGCAGAGGTCCCGGGTTCGATTCCCTACATTTATTTCTCTCGTGAGTTTGGGTGTAATTTGTGATTGTCTATGTGTGTGTCCATGGCACCCGCGACACAGGGTTTTCCTAGTGCGGGGCTATGTTGAGTGTGTGCGTTATTATTATTATAAGACATTTTTTATTGATGAGGACAATTACTGGGTGTTCGTTATTGGGGATAACGAAATTGTAATTTGTAATAAGAATAAACGAAAAGTGGACTGTAATTTCAGCTGGTCGGACAAAACGTAAATAGCAATATTTTTGATCTCGGATGACCATATAAAACCCACCTACCTTTAATCTCCTTGTATTCGGCTCCTCTGGTATGATATGATGGATGACGTCACAGCTTTGCCTACTTTTTGGAGCTCCAAAGGTCCACCGTCACAATCAGTCACCAGTAGACACCAACACGACACCAAGCAGTCAATAATAAAAATTATGGATGAATGAGAAGGAGTGCACATAAAATATCACTCTGTCGAGCCCGAAGAGGAGAGAGTTCTGGCGGGCGGCCTCCCGAACCAATATAAGAAAAAATGCAGGTGAGATTATATTGCAATCCAGCAACTTATTATAAAACTACCTACATATTGTCCGAGCGCAGATTATTGAAATAGTTATGTTTTAAGGATGTTTACACATTTACGAACAATTGGTGAGTGTCGATACCTGGTTAGTTGATTAGTGGATTTTGGTGCTCATTACTGGAGATTTAGAGACATTTTAGTTTAGGTTTTTTTAGTGAATAGTCTAATAGCTAAATATTTATTGAACTGATATTCAATTATTTTTGTGTAATTACTCCACTAGTTTGTTATAATTATTAATACAAAGATCTAACATTTAGAAAAAAATCATTCGATCTGGCCGAATTCGAGCCGACATCTCCTAGCATACCGTGCAGACGGTTTACCAACTAACACATAGAACGAACCAGCGAACCTCACAGATCTTTGTATTTGGTTTTCAACGACTTTTTAGCTGTAGCGCCATCTATGAGAAATCTATGAAATGATTTTGCCTACCTTTGCCTACTTTTGCTTACATACCTTTGCAGCGACTACCAGCCCTAGCTAGAGATGTCGCTATTAATTGTAATGAAATATTTATTGATATTATTATAATAGCTTTTTTATGAAACTTGATCTCAAACTAGGGAGATTTCTGAATTATCAGAGCAATGAAATTCACCCCGAGGCGCAACCCAGAATAACCAGAATCATTATTTTTTTAAATTGAAGTGAAAAGTCCCAATTGGACCTCTCAGGAATCGAACCCGTGACCTTCCATCCAGCGTCCACAGTATAAACCCTTCGCCCACCGAGGTCATCAAAATATATACAACACTGTGACGTTACGTAGATTATATAAAAATTTAAAATTAGATGTTGGTATCACGTATAATCACAGCGTATAATAACGATTAGTAAATTAACTTAATTTGAGTAGACTTCTGTTAAGGCCAACTGGTTAAAAAGATTTACATATTAAAGATTTACTTTACAATACTTGATCGTATTCTTTTAGGACGTTGTCGTCGGACATCAATGACAAAAAACATTCCAAAAACAAAGCATTTTAAATATCGTTTACACCCTTCTGATCTGCCAGTTGCACCGACGTGGCCACAATGGACAGTCATTAATCAACTTTTCCAATTTTCCACAAATCTAACCCTCTGCTATCCAATGCCATGTCTAAGTTCGATGACAACACAAAACCAGAATTCGACGTTTTTAATTTAAAACGAAGAATTCAAACGAATAATTTTCTGCCACTCGATCACGGCAAAATAAAGAGTAATAATGGTAATAATTCATTTCTTTAAAAAAGAAGAGAACATAAATCGATCTAAAAAATCGATAATCTATAATCTCACTACATTAATACTGC